CCGTTTCATTATGTGAAGCCGGGAAACACCACTGTCAGGCCGATTATGAATGTCATTTGAGCTCAGTCAGTGTTTTCAGCCGGTGTTCAAAGTCATTTGGTGTGCGGTGTCTAAAGAATTTAAGACCAGCTGTTACCAGTCGTCCTCACCATTTATTTTTTAATTTTTTTATATAATTTTTGTGACTGACGCCGGCGATTAACTGCACCCGTTTCCTAATTTGTAGTCTTATTAATTTAAATAACGAATTAACATTGAAAAAAAATTTAAGACCAGCTGTTGCCAGTCATCCTCACTATTTATTTCTTTTTTTTAATATAATTTTTGTGACTGACCCGGCGATTAACTGCACCTGTTTCCTAATTTGTAGGCCTATTATTTTAAATAACGAATTAACAAATTTTTTTTAAAAATCGCAAACACGACATTTCTAAATAAAATAATTTTATGCACATTAGTTATATCTAATTTGGCATTTTTAATTAACATAGGCCTGTTACATTCTTCTTATTAGCCTATTAGGCCTATTAATATTATTAAGTTACTTTTATTATTAAGCTAATATTAGGCTATACAATTAATTTGCCCCGCAATAATTTCATAGCGCATCACCGCATAACTGATGCGCTGCAGGGATAATAAAGATTAGGCTAGCTTACTCATTGAAAATGTTTTTAAAAAGGTCTTTCAAAACAGGTTTATTATACAATGAATTACAGGCTTATAATTAAAATTATTAACACTGCAATCATCAATGAAAAAGCTTTATTTCAAGCACTGACTTTTTTAAAAAGAAAAAAAAAAAAAAACGGGTTTAACTACGTTTCTTTTTTTATTTTTCCCACTAGCCTATGTTCGGGCCACAAGAGAAATATTAAGGGAGCAAATGAAAACATTTAGCTATATAAGCTACCATTATCAGCATATGAAGTAGATTCGTCTCTTGTCGTCTCTGAGAGAATATGCGCCGTTAATACAGCGTCAAATACCGAAAGCGCCATCAGTTTTTACTTTCATTTTCTAGTGAATCGACTGAGATTAAGAGGTTCACCGCATAACTCTTTGGGGGTCGCTGATTTGCGCTAAGCCACTGGACTCCGTCCGTTAGTTAGCCTAGTGCCCACTCACTTTTGCCCAGGCCTGCCCAAAAATAAAATTCTGGCTACGCCACTGAGCTGGACCATCCTCGATGTTGGTTGATAAAGGCTTATAATTCTTAATGATCTATGATATGCAGCATGTCTGCGTAGACGTTTTGCCCTCAGAGTTATAAAGTAGATATTATTCAAGCTGTCAGAATGCAGGTTTACTGTCTAGGAGTCTCACCGCTTGATTGCTCGTCTCCATAACGCTTGTGAGATGGGGCATAGAGAAACATGAGGGCAAACACATAGAGGTTCCACATGCCATAGATTCCAGTGAAGAAGGCACTGTTCACCTGAACCGTGTAGCCACCCCAGTGCCAGTGACCCTCATTCACCTGTTAACACACAATACATACACAACACTGAAAACCATATGAATGAATCAATCTACAAACTACAATGACATATCATGAAGAAACTGATTTAGCTGACAACTAATCTATACCTGGCTAATGATGAAGAAGATGACAGTCATTGCAGCACATGCTAGTGTGACCAACATCAGGAACTTGAAGCGGAAGATGAGGCCCTACATGAAATTTTTATAATATAAAGTTATTATAGGTTATAAATGGAAACTGGTCAAATTAAACACATTGAACTTAAAACACAGAACTATTGTTCTTAACTGACATTAAATAAAGCTGAATACAAAATACCGTTCAAAATGTTGTACTTTTTTTTTTTTTATAAAGTAATTTATACTTTTAACCAGTAAGGACACATTAAATTGATAAAAAGTGACAGTAAAAACATTAAAACTGTAACATTTATAAATGCTGTTTTTATGAACGTACCATTCAAAGAATCCTGAAAAAAAAAAAAGTGTATCATGGTCTCCACAAAAATATTATGCAGCACAACTGTTTTCAACACTAATACCAAATGTTTACTTGAGCACCAAATCAGCACTATAAGGCTGTAAGAACCTCAGGTACTTGGATCTCCTGACATACAGACAATACAAACACAGTTTGAATGAGTAAAATATAAAGTAAACAGTTTAATCCAGTGTCAGCATAATAATAATTAGAAATGGACAAACAACCAATTTGTATTTCAAACTAAATTCGAGATTATAGTAAAATGGAGTCCAAAGAGTTTAATTGAAACTAAACTACTTGGCACACTAAAAAGATTGGAGTAATGTCTGCTGAAAATTCATGAATAAATTACTTTGTAAAATGTATTAAAATAGGAAACCGTTATTTTAAATTGTAAATATATTTGAAAATGCCTTGGTAAGCATAACGAAACAAAAAAAAGAAAAAAAAAATATACCAACCACAAATGTTTGAATGGTAGTGTATTTAAATGCATCTAACTATTATTATCACCAGCAGTCTGTTTATGATCATAAACTACCTTTTTTTAGCTCATTTCTAAACTTGTTTGTACAAACGTCTTTTGGGTTTTCAGAAAGCTCATTAGTCATACATATGCTAACATTATCTAGGTTACACACAGTGTTGGGGAGTAACTAGTTACATGTAACGGAATTACGTAATTTAATTACAAAATAAAAGTAATTGTAATCAGTTACAGTTACTTAAGAAAAATGAAGGTGGAAGAGAGTGCTGGTATTCACTCCAAAATCAAAATGGTTTTATAATTGAGACTCTTTAGGTTTTTGGGGGATAAAAAAAAAAAGGAGTGAATTTTTATCATTGTAGGGTGGTTGTGTCCACACACTGCTAAGATACATTTATATGCAAATGAAGATATTTTGCATCCAATGTCTCCTTTAAAATAAAAATATTATAATCTTAATTCAAGTGATGAAGGATTTCGAAAGTCTGACAGTTATCAGTGTTGAGCACATATTGCAAGTTTAACCCTGCCTGGTTTACATGTTTGAAAATGATTCACAGTTGAATTTAGAAAAGTAATCAAAAAGTAATCAAATGTAATCAGTTACATTACTTTAATAAAGTAATTTAAAAGTTACACTACTTATTACATTTTAAGTAGGGTAACTTGTAATCTGTAACCTATTACATTTCCAAAGTAACCTTCCCAACACTGGTTACACATTACCTCATAGTGCAGTCGACGAGCCTTTGTCATAGCAGGTAAGGATGACCTTTTCCCACTGATGTTTCTGAACACTTGGAACACCATGAAGCACAGGAACAGGAAGTAGAGACATGCGCAGATCCCTGCTACAATGATGAAGGCCATCTGCACCAATCTCAGTTAAAGTGATAACTTAACACAAAGCATACGACTACACTATACCACAGAAGTATAGATATCAGCAAAAGCATGACTGAGATATCTTTGTGTGGATCATTATTTACGCTAGAAGCCTTTAGTACATGTTAGGTCTGAACATACAGTATGTGGCACATAAGAAAAATTCACGACTATCATACATGATTGAACGGAGCAGGAATTTGACCATCAGTCGCCATCCTGAAGACCTTCAATTGAGAAACATCTGTACCAACATCCCACACTGTCAAAATGATACAGCTAGCTCTGTCCCAACATCTGATGCCCAGATACTGTAGAAAGGGTTCTTCAGCTGTACTCCTCTATGAAGGAAATAAATCAAATGTATTTTTATTAAGAAGTACTAAGGACTAAAGAACTCAAGTTAGATGGAAACTAAAGTTACTTCATGCCAAGAATGCGGGGAGTTCAACATTGGCTCACCTTTCACACATATCAAAAACGAATAGGCAGAAGGAGCCAAAGACAATGGATCCAACCTGCTTCCAGTACACAGAAAAATGGTTTCTCTCAGTCTGGTCCTTGAGAGAAAAAAAAAAAAAATGCATTATAGTAATAAAACATGTTAAATTTTAAGTATGGCAATCAATTTAGTAGCCCTTTTTACTAAAAGTTAGATTAGTCTAACATAAAACTGCAAAGTAGTTCTGCACCAAACAAACAGTTTCTAAACACCAGTATTCCATTGTTTGGACAAACAGGAAAGTGGCCCTTACCATGAGATGTTCTCCACAGAAGATGATCCAGAAAGAAAGCAGCATGGCGTAGAAGATGCCCTGACGTATGTCACCAAACAGCAGCATCCAGGTCCAGTTGAAACCCACTGAGAACCATTCAACTGGGATATTGATGAAGGTCATGGAGATTCCCAAAGCAAAGATAATCCTGAAAGAACACAAAGCTTATCATTATCAATATACCAGCAAATATAGTTTTTTTTTAACCAACGTATATAGAGAAGATAAAACCAAAACATAAAAAAAAAAAGTCCAATTTGACTCTTTATGTTGGCTTTAACTTTTTCTTGTGTTCAACAGCAAGCATGCTAGGACAAGCAAATTTGGTGAGACTGAGATGGGGTGTAGAATGTGACTTCAAACACATGAATCACATTCCAGCTTGCCCAATCAGGGCAGAAAGAGACCATATTGTGTTGGAATGCCAGGAATGTTCCATGAGTTCAACTCTGGTGAGGGTACGAAGGTGCATTTGTTTGCTGGCAATGTGAACAAAGCAGCTTTTCAGCAACCAAAAAGTAAAATTCCAATATGAAATTACAAGAGAGTCCATAATAAAGAAAAGAAAAATTATTTTAAAACAGTAGTTTAGAACACACATAAGTTCACAATATAGTCACTGTATTCATGTTGGCTTAATGTGGTTTAATAGCATTTTCAAGAAAAGGTTAAATTAATAGTTTTTAGATGCATTTTCCAGGTACTTTAAGTTTGGGGTCAATGATTTTATTTTTTTTTTTTTTAAAGAAAGAAAGAAATGAATACTCTTTTCAGCAGGGATACATTAAATTGGTCAAAAGTGACATCTAAGACTTTTACTTTGTCTCATAAGATTTCCATTTCAAATAAATGCTGCTCTTTTTAACTTTTTATTTAAAGAATCCTGAAACAAAGGCATCAAGGTTTTCACAAAAATATTAAGCAGCACAACAATTTTCAACATAAGAAATGTTTCTTGAGCACCAAATCAGCATATTATAATGATTTCTGAAGGATCATGTGATAGCAGATTTTTTTTTTAGCATCTATTACTCCAGCCTTCAGGTTTGTCTGATATTTCCCAATTTTAATTACTACATGCAATGTATTTAAGTCATTGTACGTATGAAGTGCATTTATGTATTAAAAAGTATTAAAAAAACAATTCTGGACAAAAATAAATGAGAATCATGTCATTGACTCAAGAACTAAAAGAATTAAAGAAAAAAAAAACTTTTTAGCTTCCTCTTAAACGCACAAGTGCACAAAAAGCTAGCTGTGAAGAGCAAGAATGCAAGATAGCACACATCCATGACGTCAACTGAAATAAGCTGTTCCCTAGTGACATTTGTAACTCACACACTCACAGCATCTCTGCCAGTTCCACTGGCATGAAGCAGCATTCTGGCATCGTTCCAATAATAAGAAAGCCAGCAGGAGCCCATGTCACACATTTCTTAGCTCCCTCAGAAATGTAAAAAAGGATTCCAGTTCCCATCTTGACACGCTAGTAAAAAATGCATGCTATGGAAAAGCTTTTACAACATGAAAAAATAATTCTCCTGCCTGCTAGATGCACAAAGTACAACTGCTTGAGAGCTTCCGGTCTTCTGGGACCACTAGTGCAAAGGCAGTGTGTGTGAGAGATGGATGGTTGGTGCATGCGATTAAAAGAAATGAAAATGTAAAAGAAATGAAATTATGAAAAAGATTTAACTTTTTTCATCAGGAAATACAAAATTTCATTAATATCAGATCTAGGCCATCTGACTGAAAGTGTCATATCAAACACTATTCACAATGCAATATATTTTGTATTGAGAAATTGATTTGTAAATACTTTCCTGTAGCTCAAACTGTTGAGCATGGCGCTAGCAACAACAAGATCATGGGTTCGATTCTTAGGGAATGCATGAACAAATGAACTGATAAAATGCACAGCTTAAAGGGGTCATATGATGCTGCTAAAAATAACATTATTTTGTGTATTTGGTGTAATGAAATGCGTTTATGCGGTTTAAGGTTCAAAAAACACATTATTTGCCACATACTGTACATTATTGTTTCTCCTCTATGCCCCGCCTTTCTGAAACGCGTAGATTTTTCAAAGCTCATCGGTCTGAAAAGCGAAGTGTGCTCTGATTGGCCAGCTATCCAGTGTGTTGTGATTGGCCGAATACCTCAAGCGTGTGACGGAAATGTTATGCCCCTTACCATATTGTGATGCCCTGTCCGGCCGGAGCGTAACATAAAACCATGTCTGCATTTGTGATCGGAGAAATGACAAACAACAAGTGCTACTCTACACTGCCTCTGACGATTCAAATGTGAGTTTTTTGGGCAAATTCTTTAAATATAAAAAAACGTACTTACAGTCTGTGAGTCAGAACAGCCGGCATTGTAGTCTACTCTACCAGGATCACGAAACAGTCCTCCATAAAATGCGCTGGACACATCTGAATATTTGGGTTAAACTTTTCTGGAACAGTGTTGTAAATACAACTTAACCACTGATTTCTAGTCGTGTCCTCTTTTGGAAGGCCAAACAAAGTAGTTTTGCTTTCACAACAAAAAAGCTCCAAAGAGAAAGGAAAAATTTAAATCGCATCATATGACCCCTTTAAATGCAATTTAGGTTGCTTTGCATAAGGGAGTCTACTACATAATTGAATGTAAAAAATTAAGATAATAAAAACATGTTTCACCATTTTGATTCCTTCATCAAAATTAAAGTGTTTAAATCAATTTCCGTGTTTAAGGCAAACATCACTATTACTTACTCCATTCTCAGAAAAAACTTTTCTGTCATTTTTGCAATTATTTGGCATGCAACATTTCTGCGTGCTGCAGACAAAATTAATTATCTAATATTGTATTCAGATTTATGATTTTCACCCAAAGACACACTGTCCCATAGACTATCCCATAGATATAAACTGAAGGAGGGTCCTGAGCAATATTTAGAGACCAGAATATCACATTGACTTGGACCAGTAAGCAAGCACCTAGCTATCAACCCAGAACACCCAAGCAACCACACTGCAGTGCTGTAAAAACAACTCATAAACCCTCTTTCTTATAAGCCCTTTCTTTCAACCAAATAGCACCGCCCAAATAGCCCAACCAAATAGCAACACCCTGGCAACCCCCTTGCAAGAAAATTTTATTAAAATAATGTTTCCTATGGTCACAACAGTGTGAGGATCTAAATTATCCTACATTTCTTCATTCTATTGACCAGTAAACCAATTACACCAGAAACAAATGACTACATTGGGCTACATTCACACTGTCAGTTGGAATGACAATTGGATTTACATACAGGTGTGATTCTCAAAATGTCCTATTCACACAACAGCTTACAACAGAGGCTCTGTATAAACGTGCAACTGAAGTCAAGCCCGTATTCTACTGGCGACTATTATCTGTAATCATAGCAACAGTGACTAAAGTAAATTTTAAAATATGGCGATGTCCAAAACTGCAAATTCTTATCACATTTGACACAACAAAAGTTCAACTGAGGCTCAATTTAATTAAATTTAATTAACCAACGGCAGATTTATAGCTCAGCAAAGAGCGGAGCATTTGAGACGCGCACAGACCACAAAACTGACAGGAGTAGCTCTGGTGGAGGATAGTGACTGGATCTAAAATTTCAGATGACACGCAGCTCATATCTGCTTTTTTGTAAGTTACAGAAACCATAAACCGAAACATGCAAATCTGCAACATACTAGAAGTGACAGACAACTAGTTGTCTAGTATGGTTCCGTTCACACAGCAGGGCTTCACCTAAAATACAGTTCTGAGTCCTGAAAGTTTACTGATGCGAGTTTGGTTATAGAATACAGTTGACAATCCCATAAATAACTAAACTGTGTCTGAACGTAACTGTATTAACGACTCCAATACAGGACTGGCAACCATTTTCTGCTGCTTTGTGAATGTGGCCTTGATCTAGTAGACAAGTTAAGGAAGTGACAGAAGCACAATAGTCTTACTTTTCCAGGAGAACAGGTGGCCTAGTCATCTGTGTGATTCTTCTCCAGTACCAGATCATGATAATGAGGACGCTGGGAGTAAGGAACGTCTTCATGGCAAACCAAACCTTGGTGAAGCCACCATTTTGATGAATGCTCTGGAAAGTTACATTGAGAGGGGGATTACAGTGACATCACAAGAAACACATAAAGAGCACTTAACTGATGGGTATGGTTGTTTGCTGAGAGCCAAATAAGAGGAGTAAGCCAAACAAAAGTGAAGATTAAGAGGTGATGTAATCCAGATATCTTCAGTCCACTGACATTTGTATAACCATTGCCCTGTCCAGAAGTGTGTGCCAATTATAACAAGTCGAGACTAGGCCAAAATCCTCCCATGCAAACAAAGCTCAAACAAAACTGCTTGCATAACTCTGAGTAAACATAAATCCTATGACTGTATTTATCAAAGTCACAGCACACATTCTGTATTGTCTGAAGACTCACCACCAGACGGATGTCTTTGATTTCTCCAATCCCGATGTTGACTTTTTTGCGTTCATTGACAGGTAGTCGGATGTTCAGAAGATAGTACTTATGGGCCACACTGCCAACCTCCATAAAGGGCAACAGGTCACATTCATAGTAGCGCCCCTCGTTCTCATAAGTCTGACAATAAAAAAAGTTTCATTTAACATTTTCAAAGAAAACAACCCTGCTCCTGGGGACCCACTGTCCTGCAAAGATTATTTCCAACCTGCTTCAGCACACCTGCTTGTGTTTTTTCAAGTAGGGTTGGAGCTAAACTCTGCAGGACAGTGGGTCCCCGGGAGCAGGGTTGAAGACCTCTAGAATACTGAGCTATTCACTGTACAATGCACTCGTTCCCAATATCGTGTTTAGGCATACTGAAGGTCTCTACCCTACCTTGTAAAATGGCCTTAGGGTATTTTTGGATTTGTTATGGGTCAGAAGTAACTAGTGTGTTTACCTTGGTTGCAGTGAAATTGCAACTCAGTTTGCGATGCTCTGTTGAATGGGCCATCTCAGTCCACTCACTCAGGGTGCTGTCTCTGTAGGCCAGACCAACATCCATGGTGACCAAAGATCCATCTTCTACACACCAACAAAGAACACACATATTTCAGTCCGATACATCAGAAAGATTATGCACAATAACCAGTAACATTTGCTGCATTATAATAACTGCTATTTTCTTCTTATCTTAACTGCTTATCTTCTTTTAAAACTTCGTAAATTACCTTATGAATCCTGATTGCCGATTTTGTTCTGATCTTTTTTTTTTTTAATAAAGAATGAAAAAGTACATAAACTATGTTTTTGCTCCATTACAGGCTGAAATGGCCTTACAAAATAGCTTGTAGCCATTTGGACTTCATCACGATCCAAACAAAGATGCCAGCTACATGTAGCATGAGAAGTTATTTTTTATAGAGCTCACAAGTTCATTGCAAGTTCATTCCTGTGTACAGACTTTATATTTCTACACAAATTATATTTTGGGAAATGACTGCAATGCATTTTGTCTGTGAACGTAAACAGTTGGGAAGAAACTGCATGTGTATCAGTATATTAGATCTGTGAAACAGCACCTCTTGGAAATGACGATGCAACTCAACCAGGCCTCGCCCCCCTTGGGCATGCCTTGGGTGGTAATTATTTAAATTCGGGATATTTTCGGGACTATAATCAAGGCATTTGAGGGAGTTTAGAAAAAGCACTTACTGATATAGAGAATAACTCCCTCTGGAGTGGACTTTGTAACTTTGTAGAACTTGTTCATGCACAAACAGCAACATTATGTACTAAAAGTTGAAAGTGTAAAAGATATAATATGACCCCTTTAAATCCCCAAAGGTAAAACAGAAATAACTATGTAAAATACATGGCCCATGAAAATAGTATGCACTTGTTATAATTATTACGGTAATCTGCAGGCAGCACAAAAAAAGACAACCTTTAAGTTGATCAGCAAGTCTTCAGCTAGAACCGCCATACAATCTACGATAACACTGAAGCCCATCCTTTTTTTTTATTTTTTTTTAAGTGAACTGTACATAGAAACATTCTTACGAACTTAGAATTCATCAAGAAATTTCTGAACTTTATGAAGATCTCTGTGAATCCACCCCCTGATTTGTGAACAAATCATACTGACTGGTTGTGTGAAGTAGATCAAATCGATTCATTGAAATGATCAGACTACAAAGAACATGATTCTCAGTGAATAACAAGCTAATTTCAGTCTATCACTCGCACAATCATTATCATATGACGTCTTAGAATAAAATGCACAAGTCATACTGTTTCACTTTTTCCTGAAATTTGAATTTTGACAACACTTTAAAAAAAAAAAATTATAAATAATCACCTTTTGTGTTCCACAGGAAAAAAAATGCATAGGCTTGCAACAACACAAGGGTGAGTAAATTATCATTGCAGGTCATTTTTGAGTGAACTCTTATCTCTTCAAAACCTTGACATCTGGGGCATTAAATGAACGCATACTGACTGAAGAACAATATTGGACTTTTATGGACATGGCCAAACACAGGCATGTGAAATGACAGATTCATGACATCCCATACCATTCTCATGAATAACACTTTTGCCATCACAGTGTGGCGAAAAGTAGCTCAAGGTAACCTGGGAGTCATTTTATCTATGGACACCCTATTCGAGTCAATCATAACCTCACACACACCCGTTTTTTTAACACATCAGCATGTATGTATGTATGTATGTATGTATATATACATATACATATATATATATACACAGTCATGTGGTGTGATACTCCTGAGCTTTGGGAAAGCAGAAGGTAGCTGGGAAAGGGGCCGGTGGTTTAGATCACACTGCAAAGTCTTTTGAGTTCCACTTCACTTCTCTAAAGAGATCCTTGTTGTGTTATGAAACAAGCTGGAGAGCACTAAAGAGAATTCCTGCAGATGGAGAGCTGAGCTTTATGGGGGGAGGGGCAGGAGGAACAGAGAAGGAGAGAGCAGCAGACATTATTAGCCCAATCCTCTCTCCTCCACTGTGTCTGCAGTGGCCCCCACCTACGAGCGCCTGTGCCAATGCGCTTTGAATGTCAGCTTAGCACACACAAACATTCCGCCCGGGCGCAGCGCACATCACCCCGGCGACTAAGCCATTTCAACAGCTGTGTTATTGCTGGAGACTGGCCAAACTGTGCTGCTTGGGCCAGAGAGACGAGGAAGAGAGAACCAACGGCACTCCACTGAAAATGAAGCGGAGGGGCTGGTGATCCTGGTGATGGTCATGTGATTCATTAGAACAGCCTGAACTTTCAGCAAAGTAAAAACGCAGGTATACAGGGATTCTATACACGTCTTGTGAGCAGAATTACACTGTTTTAGATTTTCATAAAGGTGATTTTTTTTCTCTTTTGCTTTTCAAAAGGAAAAGGTCATAAAAATAAGCACAAATGAGCATAAATTTAAATTAATTTAATCTAGCTGATTCAATTATAAAACATAATTACTTTATATTATAAATGTATATTATTATAGAATATAACAATGGCTTTACCTGCAATCCAAATTTCCATTATATTTCCGTTTAGCTAGCTTAAAGGGTTAGTTCACCCAAAAATGAAAATTAGCCCATAAATTACTCACCCTCAAGTCATCCTAGGTGTATATGACTTTCTTCTTTCAAACGAATCCAGTCGGAGTTATATTAAAAATTGTCTTTGATCCTCCAAGCTGTTTCATGGCAGTCAGCGGGTGTTGCATGCATCCGTCCAAAAGAAGTGAAATAAAATGCACCCATCCATAAAAAAAAATAAAAAAAAAGTGTCTCACATGGCTCCGGGGGGTGAACAAATTGTAGCGAATCGATGTGTTTTTGTAAGAAAAATATCCATATTCAAAACATAATAATCACTTTAATGTAGCTTGCGCTCACTGTTGTAAAGGGAAGCAGTTCCGGGGGAATGACCTCTGAGGTCAGCGCTGCGCATGCGCCAGTGAGTCTCGTAAAAACCAACATTTGTTAACAGGAGCAAAGGAAGCAAAGTTTTCTTACTTTAGCAAAGGAAAACCAGTCTCCTCTTGGCTTATATCGAAATCCTCCGACATTCTTCTTTACAAA